CCTGGAGGGGGGGTGCCACTTATTTTGCCCCCAAACTTTTTTTTACGGGGACATTTTTAATATTTTGGTAAAAAATAATATTTTTTTAACAATTTGCCATAAAAAAGGTACTCTTGCTTAAAGTCAAAAAAATTACCGGTTTTGGAGTTATTTGAGGTTTTAACTTGTTTTACCTAAAATAAGAAAATAATTTGGTTTACTTTTATTAAGTAGGCTTAGACTGCAGATTTTTCTTGTTTGACAGATTGGTTTGACACATTGTTGTTGATAGTTTTGGTTTGTTTAACAAGTAATAACGCTTTTAAAAGCTTTGAAAATGAATATGTACACTAATAGTGACTATACCGATATGTTGTTAACATTGGGGGAATGTAATGGTAATGCTAAAGCGGCGAAAAGAAGATATGCGGAAAAATTTCCAGGAAGAACTGTTCCGGATGCAAAAACATTTTTGAATTTAGAGAGAAGATGCCGTGATACTGGAACCTTTAAACCAAAAAAGGTAAATTCTGGAAGACCACGAGTGGCAAGAATTCCTCAAACAGAAGAAAATATTTTAAATGTAGTTGTTGCGGATCCTACGATAAGTGTAAGAAATGTGGCAAGGGCAAGTAACACAAGTATTTCTAGTGTACACCGTGTATTAAAAGAACAATTATTGCACCCATTTCACTACAGGCAAGTACAAGAATTATTGCCTGAAGATCTCTTTTTGAGAAGTGACTATTGCGAATTATTACAAGCAAGAAAGAGACAGAGTCCTGATTTTTTACAAAATATTCTTTTCACCGATGAATCAACTTTTACTAGACAAGGTATGTTTAATAGTCATAACAGTCACTTCTGGGCCGATGAAAATCCAAAGGTTAAACGTATAAGGCATTATCAACATAATTTTAAGTTGAATGTTTGGGCTTCTACAATAGGCAACCGCCTTGTTGCCTACCATATTTTTGATGGAAATTTAAATGGTGATGTTTACTATGAATTTTTGGATAATCGTTTATTTCCGCTATTAGAAGATTTGCCTCTTGATCTAAGAAGAAATATGTTTTTTATGCATGATGGGGCCCCACCTCATTTTAGTTTACAAGTTAGAAGATGGCTTAACGAACATTTCCCAAATCGTTGGATTGGTCGGGGTGCCGATGCTCCTATCCACTGGCCACCACGGTCCCCTGACCTAAATCCCTTGGATTTTGTTGTGTGGAGTTTAGTTAAAGAAAAAGTATATTCCAGCGAAATAAATTCCATTGAAGAACTTCAAGCAAGAGTTGAAAATAATTTAAGAATGTTAATTCAAGAACCACAGCCACTTGAAAGAATTATGTTTTCCCTAGAAAAACGTTTAAGATTATGTATTCGGGAACATGGTGGACATTTCGAACATTTAATGTAAAAATCCATACCTACTTATTCAATATTTTTCTGTTTGTTCTGTGTTATTTGTTGTTTTTTTAATAGTTTCCTTTGTTTATTCTGTGTAAGTGTCATGCAATTAAAACCTCTTTTAAGCTCAAAATAATTTGCTCTAATTTATACTTGTTGTTTCTGAAACAGTCATTATTCCCTGCGTTTATTTATTATCATTATTTTATTTTTATTAATTCGGTCAGTATTACTTGCTAAAACCTCAAATAACTCCAAAACCGGTAATTTTTTTGACTTTAAGCAAGAGTACCTTTTTTATGGCAAATTGTTAAAAAAATATTATTTTTTACCAAAATATTAAAAATGTCCCCGTAAAAAAAAGTTTGGGGGCAAAATAAGTGGCACCCCCCCTCCAGGGACGGTCCTGTACAAAATATTAAAAGTTTGTCAGCAGTAACTTTCAAGACCTAATCAAACCTATTTGTGGTCTAAATTTCATTTGGCTATCTTAAACCTTCTCAAAGATAATTTAAAAAAAAAGAATTTTTGGGGCCCCTTTTACAGGGCATGTTTATTAACCAAACTAACATTATTTTTTAATATTCTGTTTACCCTAGAAATTAGCGGAACGTTTTTTGAAACACCCAGTATATTGGCAAATACTTACATTTGTTTCACTATCACGTATAAGAAAATCTCCATCATGTCCATGTTGATTTAAAAGATTATCACAAACATATCTTGTAATGCTGCCATAATACCAAGGCTTATCCACTAAATGTGGTTTATCCACCATTGATGCTTGAGATCTTTCCATGGATGATTCCATACCTCCAGGTTTATTTCTTTCTTGAAATGGACGATCCATATAATCAGACAACTCCTGGAGATAATTTCTTGGTACCAAACCTACTTGGCCCTGTGAATTTCTGGCTTTATACCTGAAAAAATAAATTAATGAACCTTTACGAGTTTTCACCAAAAAAATAGTTACATTTTCTTTAAAGGTACCAAAATTAACGTTGCCACGTTTGCTTTTTGCTTTTAAATATTTTTTGGTAGACAAAGGACCCCGCACAAACCTTATTGGCTGAATTTTTTATATGTTATGTATCTCGGCGTCCTGAACAAATGTCATCATGGGCGCAAAACACAAACCTCCACGGGTTCTGAAGTAAACCCATCTAACTCCTAGAAACCACCGCTATCAAACCACAAGCAGGCTCACCCACGTAACCCTGAGAATAGCAAGTTTAGTCGCTTATTCTTCTTGAAATAATTAAATTTCACACCACAAGAGGGCTAACCCGCCTAGCCCCTAACTCATGTAGCCCTTAGAAACCAAGAAATAATAGATTTATTTGTCAGTTATTTAAGGTGTTCTAGAGCTATCTGTTGTATATTTTTTATTCTTCTTTTCATTGTAAGTGCAGTAAAATATCTAGTTAAATAAAAAAACTTTCAGAATATAAAACATGTATTTTCTTGATTAGAAAAATTGCGAAATAATTATTCTAATGAAGATATTTTGAATTTATTTTATATTCATAGAGGATGTATTAAAGTTGTCTGCAGAACATGTAGAAGGTTTAATGAATTATATCCAAATTTATCACATATGACTTGAAAAATTTAGAAGAATATACTAATTTTTTGCAGTTTGGTTTAATGTAACCAACCAGGAGGATTGGGTGTCTCATCGGGGGGATGAAGCGGGAAGCGAGAGGCCCTATACTTACCGTGTTAAATAGTCATTGCTGTCAATGCAAAGAAAAATATTCTTTATGACCAGAAAGTAAGAAGATTGAGATATTTGCTTGTTTTTATTACAATTTATCATTTTTAATATTATTAACGTTTTCACGTTTTATAATTTATTATGTTAAATAATACACAGTTTTAGTATTTCAATTTATTATTCAATATGCAGTTGCGTATAACCAAAGTTTACATAATAAATGTAAACTTTAGTGTAAATCTAAACTTTGGTGTAACCTAGGTAGGCACTTATTGTTGCCATAAAATGCCAGCACAAATAAAACAGCATTCATCCGTCCAGAGCACTTTGTTAATAAAGTTCTGCTGCACTTAGGAACCAATTGCAAAATTCAAGACGATTGGGGAAATCAGCTGCTTCTAAAGCTTGAACTTTTTGAAAATGTGTTATGTTAACTCCTTTGCGGGAAAAATGCGGGATATGGAGGGTGGTAGATTTGAATAAACGCTTTAAATTGTTAATGGTTTTGTAACCGTGTGTAGTGTATTTTGTATATTTGGGTATTTTGTAGTGTGCCGACTTTTTTATTTGCATACAAACAGGCAACTACCTCTGCTTTATTTATGTTCTTTTAACGAAAGTTTACTTCGAGAAGTCAGGCTCGTTGAAACATTCTACACTAAGTTAATACAATTGTTAAAATTATTTATAATAAAATGCAGCAAGCTCCTTTATTTATTTGAATATGTTTAACAATAAATGTGAACCACACATTATGATGTGAACTTGGCAACGCTGTTCCTTTAGCCGACAACTGTTCGTGACATTACGTTACAAAATTTTCCGAGCATCCGGGCATCGGCCAGGGCCGCCCTCGTAGCGGGAGTTATGGGTCGATTTCCTTCATTTTTAAAAGTCGAGTAAACAATTTTTTTTCCGATTTTCTGTCTTTATTAAGCCTTCCGAATACGTGGTTAAAATTAATGACATTATGACTGAATCACCCTGCATATACTAAACTAACAAATCATAATTTTTTTTGTACCGAAAAAATAAAAAAAAATAATTCTACGCATACAAAAATTTGTACATAAACGGTAAAAGTGGTTTATGAGAAATATAACGAATCCCTATCTCCCACGTGTTAATTCTTTGAACATTGAAAATAAATTAATTTCTTATACCCAAGGATATGGTACATTTTGTACTAGGTTTCGTTTTTTGACAACCTTTTTAGATGGGGGAGGAATTTGATTGATTTGGGGGTAGTTTTTCAAGTTTAAGTGCCATTTTCTCTAAAACTATAAACTTTAGACTCATCAACCATTATATCAAAAGCATCGTAGTAATAGGTAGAATTCATTTTAGGATTCAAATACAGGGTGTTCCATTTAAAAAAACATATGTTTGGTTTGCCACGGACTTTTGTGTGCACCCGTATAATGAAAATATTTTTAGAATATGCAACTCATAACTATGCACCTCGTGACAAAAAATTATTTCATAATTCCTCGTCGTTCAGGCGTGATCTTTCACCCCATCTTGGTTGCACCACCCTGTATATAATTTCAGGAATTTTTTTTAAGAAAACTATACAATATTTTTATTTGAAACTTTGAGACTATTTTATTTGTAGTTTAAGAAAACATAAAACAAATTTTCTATGATAAAATTTAAATTAATTGAAGCGCATTGAAGTGATGAAGTAGAATTTTTTTTTTCTCTTAATTTACACCATGTTTCACAACCGCAGTATCATTCTAAAACATATCAAGTTTTTTGTTATTGTAACACTTATATCTCGTCCATGAACCTAATTTAAAAGTATAAAAAAGTTTAGTAACAAAATGGTGGATGTTTGAAAAATATTTACAAAGGTTTTTTTCTTTGTTTTTGCAAAAGTTATTAAATAATTATTTTTAACAAAATCCTTTAGGTTAGTGGATTAGCCAATAAAATTTCCTTTAAATGGTTTTTTTTTTGATAGGTTGAAAATTCGTTGAGTAACCACCGGCATAAACTCCGAAAATTGAAAAATTTTCATTTTGAGAAAAATGAGGCCCCCCGAAGGACATTTGCAAAAATAGCCCTAGTAGCAAACTGTTTCGAATTTCGCTTTAAAATTTTAACAGTGTATTCCTGAAATATTATACTTTCAATTTGTGTAATAAAAACAAAAATCGATTTTTCAATAGATTTACACGAGGATACCCACTTAAAGATGATTCATCCATTTTATGGAAACGTAAAATGCATAACTATAAGTTGTTGAGACAAAAATAGGATTAGGGTCGTATGACACTATACTAAAATTAGAACTAATTTCAGTAATTAATTAAGAACTTTTTAATCTTGCATAGTATCATACATCAATTGCAACAAAAATTGTTGCAGTTTCTGCAGGGTGATCAGAAAATCAGTAAATATAAAAATCGTTTAAGAATAAACTGCCTTTGTTTTTAACAATACAGAAATATGTTATTAAGGAATGTTGCTTAAAATTGAGATTTATATTTTAATTTCAATTTGTGTATGAATGAAAAATGATTTATTGTCCGCTTTTATCAAAGTAGGCCATACTTTGATAAAAACGGACAATAAAACATTTTTAGTTCATGTTACAATAAACATGCATTCTTGATTAAAATTTTGGCTTGTCTTTAAAATGTGGTTGGCATGGAGACCTTTCACCTTGCATGTACAGGGTGATCAGAAAATCGGTAAATATAAAAATCGTTCAAATATAATTCAAATATAATTGGCATGAAGAACTTTATTTAGTAATTTTTATTTAATGCCGTTGTTTTAATGTGTATGAGCAATGGAAATATTTCTTAATAAATTATATTTGTTTTTTAGTTTGCACTTAGCAATTCACACTTAGGAAAATACAAGCACACTATACTATAATCATATCATACTATAATATAAACTAACACTAGAACTGAAAATTTTAAATGCCTTAAAATGAAAAATAAAAATATTTTCCCTCTTTTCCACTCTAACCATGGACATACTGTAGAGGAGCTTTAATGTTTTTTACTTATTTTAAATATATTTTATTGATAATGCAAGGGTGTTGCATTTAAAATAACTAAATTTAGAACTACTTCCAGTGTAACCAGATATGCTACATTCATGACATTACTTTCAGTTAAGAGAGGATATATAGGGTGATTCAGTCATAATGTCTTTAATTTTAAGGGAAGATAGGGAAAAATAAGTGGAATGCGAATACACGATTTAAACAATGTATATTTACGTTGATAAAAAAAATTTCAAATCATTATTTAAGTCCGTTTTTGGACCGCTCCTCACCCCTGATCTACAAGCTTTATCAAGAGTGAATCTTGACCCACCTTAACATTCCTAGCTTTCAATACGTTTTTAACCTATAGTGAGCTACAATGAATAAAGCTTTTTAGCCACACATATGAATGAGTAAAATATTTTTTTTACATTTTAAATATTAACAAGTGTTAATAAAAACAAATGTATAAGGATAATAATTGTTAGGTTATACAATTTAGTATTTTTAAGATTGTAAAGGTATTTGTTACGTTTTATAATTGAATATGAGTTTTTAGTAATACATGTTCAATTAATTATTCAATTTGTAGTACGTATACCTTATTGTGTGACTTATTGCTCTTCAATGAGTATGGTACCTACATATTTAAAATACACTACGGCTAAAAAAAACACTCACTCATCCGTCCATAGCTTTGCTATTAAAGGATTTTTGGATTTGCTGCACTTTGATTTTGAAACCAATTGCAAAATTCTAACTGGATAAAAAATCAGCTGTTTCACTTACCTTCGAACGCTTTAAGTCCGCCGGTGCGTTCCGTGACGCGAAGGGGTAATTTGCATATTTTTTAAAAAGTCGAGCAATATTTTTTTTTCCATTTTGTCTTTATTAGGCCTTCCGAATACGTGATTAAAATTAATGACATTATCACTAGAATCACCTAATAAATCACTCCTGTATATAAAATTTCAAAATCATATATTTTTTCTCACAAACGTTTAATAAACTAAAACCGCTGTATCTTTTCCATTGCGTTACAAGCAATATTCGTATGAATTAAGACGAAAAATCCTAGTCACATTAGTCACTGTTTTCATATAATTGAAATGTCATCTTGACAATTCCCAAATCTGGATTTCTGGCAAATTTTAATACTGGTGTTAATGGATATGAAAATATGCCAAAAAATCGATATTTCAACGCTCAGAAAATATCTATAAAAGTACGGAGACACAATCAAAACAACTGTCAAATTTTTAATCTGAGTGCCAGTTCTGTTTTTAAATGTGCTAGTCAAGCTATAGTCTAAAATTAATACCCAACAAACGCCCTCCATTTTCTTTCACTCTAATACACCTAAAATATTGGAACAGTTGTCTGTGATAGGTTGAGACTATGAAGACATTTATACCATCATTACCATCATTACCAAAAGAGATACCTCTTTTTAGCGCGTTTAATAATGAATACACATCCATAACGACTGTCTTTGATATTAGGACACACGCGTGACGTAATGGCAATCTTAAAACGGTTCTACTATAGACTACTTTGCTTCTCACTACAGGGTTCTCGGAAATGGTAAGAGATACGAAATAGCTTAAATGGAGGCAAAGTTTTGTAATCAGGGGACCAACATTATGCCTCTAAAAAATCAAGACTAACATGATTAGTTTTCGAAATATTAAAAAAAAACGAAATTTTGGAATTCCTTTTTGGTTCATTTCTGCCTTGTTTGAAGTGATATTGAAAAAAAGGAGAACACTTTCTCATGTCAACTTTTTGCCTTCTATCGAATGGCATAATCAATTTTTATATGTAACGTTTCGTCTCTCCAGGACCATCATCAACTTCATTTTTTTTAAATACAACTGGAAATTTTATTACATTTTTTGCAAGCCTTCACAACCGCCAATACTGTACTGCCTCGAACCAGATTCAGACGTTTTGTCTAGAAAAATTCATCTTCAATGTATTCGTTCTAAATTTATCTAGTTCTTTTTAGTTTTCTGTCTCTTGAATTATCGTACATTCTAAGTGTCATTAGATCCTGTGAAATCCATCTAGTTATTTAAACAATAGTGCAACCTCTCTAATCCGAACACAAGTTAATCTGATCACACGCTAATTCGAACGGCCAAATCTGAACGATGACAAGAAAAGACTAGATCGCTTCGCTCATACGCACGTAGTCGGCAGTCAGTTTGTTTGCCGATAGCAAAGAACCTGTTGCGTGTCGTGTTTTGTATAACAATTTTGGAGTTTTTTTGGAAATAAGAAAAATAAAAAATGTGAAAAATGTAAAATAATACGTATATTTATATGTAACTACATGTTTATGTTTTACCTTATATAAGTTTTATGTGTCTTATATAAATTATATTTATATTGTTATAATAAAATGTGTATGTACTTACACAATATACAAATGTACAAATCTTTATAGTATGTTCGATAATACGAACAATGCCTGACAATGTGGTGTACGGATTAAAGAGGTTGCACTGTATTACCGTCACATGTTACAATAAAACATTATTAGAGTTTTAATCCCCTGCTCATAGTTATTTCTAGGTTTCACGAGTGTTCAAAATTCAAACAAATTTTGATCTAATTATTGTCAAGATAATCATACAAATACATCCGACATGCTCTTTCACAGTTGCGGTTACATGTAAAATAAATTCGTTTTTGACCATTTACTGGAATTGTTTATAGTACATATAATATTTATTTGAAGTTTTGGCTGTTCACATGCATTTTTAAGAATTAATTTGTCATAATGAAATTAAAATTGTAGTAATGTTTTAATTTTGACGCAACAACTTATCGAATTATATATGACTAGGTGACAGAGATGAAAAATCTAATGATGTTTTATGTAATGGTAATAGTTTAAATAACTAGGTGGATTTCACAGGGTCTAACCACACTTAGAGAAGAAACATAAAAATCTAAAAAAAAATAAGAAAAATTTGGAACGAATACATTGAAGATGAATTTTTAGACAAAACGTCTGAATCTGGTTCGAACTGAGGCAGTACAGTATTGGGGGTCATGAAGGCTTGCAAAAAATGTAATAAAATTTTCAGGGTCGTATTTAAAAAAATGAAGTTGATGATGGTCTTGGAGAGATGAGATGTTACATATAAATATTGATTGTGCCATTCGATAGAGGGCAAAAAGTTGCCATGAGAAAGTGTTCTTCTTTTTTCAATATCACCTTAAACAAGGCTGAAATAAAACAAAAACGGATTTCCAAAATTTCTGTTCTCTTCAAATATTTCGAAAACTAATCATGTTAGCCTTGGTTTTTTAGAGGTATAATGTTGGTCCCTTGATTACGCAACTTTGCCCACATTTAAGCTGCTTCGTATCTCTTACCATTTCCAAGATCCCTGTAGTGAGAAGCGGATTTGTAACAGCCTGTATACATACTGTATATCATCAGTGTGCCTTCAAAATGCAACATGTGCATATTTGCAGCAAAATGTGTTAAGTTCTGCACATTCGATAGACAACATCAAACCCCATAATCTAAAAACATCCATTTTATTTTCTACAGAAATGTGACTCTCTGCAGTAAAATTAAAAATAATTGTTCTAATTCTTAAATATAAAAGCCATGAAACAGTTTTTTAACTCCACTGAACAATTTGATAAAATTCACAAGTAGCATTTTGAAGACGCAACGACAATATATATATACAATACATATTCAAACAGACATTAAGCATTTCTTTAAAATTAATATATTTTTAACTCACCATTCTGGATCACTAGCTGGTCTGTCTAAAATTTCTAAACGATCCCCTTTTTCAAATGACAACTCTTGCTCATTAGACGAAGAAAAAGAATACAGTGCAACAACTATATCAAGTACATTCTCAGCCATAGCATATGTGTGAAGAGTGTCATCAACTTCTCCCTCTTCTTGTGTATAATTTGATGGAAACCATCCTGAAATATTACTGCTCTGACCTCGCCACCAACCTAAAATCAAATGGTTCCCTTCAGTGAATTTCACAAAGATCAATGAAACACATACACACAATATGAAGGATATTTCTTTTAATTAATAATTTCTAATTGTGCTAAAAAAATATCTCATTTATATGAAGTGCTTTGCTGCCAAAGCTACTCCAAACTCTCATGATTGTATAATGTAATAATAATAACAATAATGATTATTATTATTATTATTACTATTACTATTAAAAAAGTCCTCCGTGAAAAAATCACATACTTGATAGAGTTTTTACTAAGCAGTTATAAATATTGTTCTTTTGGGTGATATTAATGTGGACATGCAGAGCGATACGGAATATGCTCAAGACGTGCGCCACATAGTTAATATGTAAGGCTTAAAGCATCATATCACCACGCCCACCAGAGTTACTGTGAACTCTATCTCTTGTATTGATATTTTATCTAATATATGTGACGATAATTTGTTAACAGGTGTCTGTGATCCTCTTATTGCTGACCATTCTGCTGTGTATGCTATTGTTCAAATAGAACATAATAAACCTACTACTTATGGGCATATTATTAAAAGAGTTTTTAATAAGCGTAATATGGATAAATTTCTAAATAATGTTGCAACAATTGATTGGTTTGGGTTTAACGATGCCATGTCAAGTGTCAAACACTTTTCGGACTTATTAATACATCAACTATGTGACCAACGTGATATTTGTTTTCCACTAAAGCTTTTTACAAAGAAATCTAAGGGCTTAGATTGGTTCAATGATAGGCTTCGTGACATGAGATCCCAATTACGTGATGCTAAGCGTAAATTTAATTTGTCTAAATTTTCTTCTGATTGGGTTATTTTTACTAATAAACGCAAAGATTACAGACGCGCTTTGAAAGAAGAAAAATATAATTATTATGCCAGTACAATTTTATCTTCTAACAATAAAAGTAAGACCGTATGGGATTTAATTAGACGAGACATACCTGCTAAAAAAGTTGAAGTCCGAACTGATATAACATCTCAGCAGTTTAATGATTTCTTTGTTACAGTTTCAGAAGTTATTACTCAGTCTATAATTGATTCGAATATTAATCCTAGTTTGTTTTTAAATATGTTACCAAGCCCAGAAGGGTCGTTTTTCATAACACCTGTCATTGAGTCTGATGTTAGAGAAGCTATACTTAAGTTAAAAAATACAGCTAGTTTGGATTACTATGAATTGAACAGTTTTGTCATTAAAGCCTCACTTGAATTTCTTGTAAAACCTTTTACAGTATTATTTAATATGTGTATTACTGAAGGCATTTGGCCCGATGCTTTTAAAATTACAAAAGTAGTTCCAGTATTTAAAACAGGCGATAAAGATGACATAGATAACTATAGGCCCATTGCAATTGTTCCAGTTTTATCGAAAATTTTTGAAATTTTGATTAAAGATAAGCTTATAATTTATATAGATGATAAGACTATCATAACTCCTTCGCAGTATGGGTTCCGGAAAAATTGTTCAACGGTCCAGGCATTAATAACTGTTGTGGAAAGTATTGTTAATGGAATGGACGATGGCGCTCCTACTAACGCGGTAATGTGTGATTTATCAAAAGCCTTCGATTGCGTAAATATTGATCTCCTATTGTTTAAATTAGAACACTACGGTATTAGGGGAAAGGCATATAGTCTTTTTAAATCATACTTGACCAACAGAGTACAGTATGTTAATCTTAATGGTGTTACTTCTGATTTACTTCCCGTTACATGCGGAGTTCCCCAAGGATCTGTGTTGGGGCCGGTTTTATTTTTGCTCTACATAAATGACTTACCCATGTCACTGTCTGGCACTGAGTGTATTCTTTTTGCCGATGATACTACCTTGCTTAGTAGAGGTGTGAGCTCTTTATATGACAATGGCTTGAATAGTGCTAAAATTTGGTTCGGAAGTAATAAACTGAAGCTCAATGAAGCTAAAACTAAAAATATACTCTTTAGTTCTGATAAAAGGGCCGTCAAGTCCAGTCCAGTTCGTTTGCTGGGAGTAACACTTGATACCACATTGTGTTGGAGTGCGCATATTGATACTATATGTTCAAAACTTTCTTCACTAAATTTTGTTATGAGACAACTCAGATCGTGCCTAGATAATGCTACTATGAAGATTGTCTATTATGCGCTCCTGCACAGTGTGATGTCATATGCGATTATTCTTTGGGGCAATGCACCAAAGTCATATAAAGTGTTTCACTTACAGAAGGCAGCTGTGAGGATCATAGACAAAGCCCACTATGGAATGTCCTGTAAACCCATTTTTAAAAAATATCAAATCTTACCAATGCCCTGTGTATATATTTTTGAAACACTTTTATTTGTACATAAACATGCTAATAGCTTATTGTCTCATGCTGATAGACATAATTATAGCACAAGACACAGAAATAATATCATACCCCCCTTTTCGCGTTTGCGTATTACACAAATGAATAAAATTGATATAAATTTGTATAATAAACTTGTGAATATTCATCAGCAATTAGATTTGAAATCAATGAATTACAGAACATTTTATAGACTGGCTAAAGATTTTCTTTTAACTCACTGCTTTTA